CCCCAAAACCCCAAAACCCCATGATCAGCACATTAATCTTAAAAGAGAAGTGTTTTAGGATTAATATTATAAAAATTACTATTCTTAATATATATGCTCTGATTGGGAGCGCTTAAACTAAAAATCCAATTTAAAACATTCATTCTTCCATCATAAGTTATTAATTATACTTGAGGAGAAAGTCATCATTCACAGGATTATTAAAGATTGTTTTATTCTGATCCTTTTCCTAATTGTTGTTCTCATCCATAATACTGCCACTTGAACCAGTGCTTTACTCGCTTTACTTTTTATCTTAAGCTAGATCAATTTAATCCTCAGGATTAATTGCATTTCCAAATGAAGATTCTTAGAGAACAAGATGATTAGAGTTTTATGAATAACAGTCAGGGTTAATATCATTTTCATTCAATTTTGGCTTCTCCTCTGCTTTATCACCAACCTATTGAAGCACAGCATCTTCACCATTATTTATGAGTTAGATTTCATAAGTGCTAGCATCAACATTTATGCCCATTGCTCTCTTATATTAGAGAATACCATCAATTTTACTAGTGCATACTCCAGGAATAGGATTATCTCTCATATAATGGCTAATATTTCTATATATTTGCTTTTAATCATCTCTTAAGCTTCTCCATTACTCACCTATCATTTTAGCAAGATCATTTACTTTTAAATCTATACAAAATTATATTTTGGTTAATTAATACTTACTTGGGAATTTAGAACTGTAAAGCTGTCTATGCTCATTAAAAAATATCATATAGCTAGTGGGAATATGCTGTTTTCCATCAGCTCTTGGCTACACCTCCTTCTTTTTCTTTTTTTTGGTATTTGTATCTATTGCTTGAATATTTTGAGCATTATTTGATAATGGATTCATATCACATTGTCCTAACTGATTTGCACCGTTTTACTACTATTGTAACCCCTAATTATAGAGGATAATGTTCATATGTGTTTGTGGAATTTATGGCATCATAGAACTAAAGTATTGCATAGTATTAAGTTAAGGGGTGTAAACACTATTCTGAGGTTATAGTATTTATGGTAATGTATGATTCTGATACTAAGGGATTTACGGTAATGAACTGATATTTGAGTTGTGAATCTGAGGGGCTTACTGCATAATTTGATGCATACTTACTCCAGTGAAAACAGTCTCTATAATATTCTCAATGGTGTTATTGAATTCTTTGTTCGCCTGAACAATTTACTTCAAGAAATTGTAGGCTAGAAATTGAGTGTTTGATTGGGACTAAGACTAGTTCGAATTCATAAAAAATTTTAATGCTTAAGTAATTAAAATACGGCTTTTAACAAGCTTAATCAATTTTGAATGTTTAAAATAGCAGGTGGGCAAATTCATTCAAACTCTGCCTCTTCATCGACCCCATTTTCTTCCTCTTCCTCATTTATGCTTTCAATTTCTCTTTTGCTGCTGCTTTGGTTTAATTTATCGGCAAGAATTCTTTAAGTTCCCTATTTTGAAGGAGTGTTACTCCTTCTTGGATCGAAATCAATTTCCTCATTTTTGTTAAGAAGAACTTAGCCATCCTCTTGGCCCTTGTCGTCTTCATTGATGTTTGAGTCAACACAGCAAAAAACTATGCAAAGGCACTTAACACATTTATTCTTATATATTTTCTTTTATTTCCCTGCTTTTTTAGAATGGTTATCACTTTTATGGTATTCATCATCATCCTATGAAGATCTATTTGTTGCTTTTATGTCATCGTTTGAACCAGAGGGACTTAGCTTTCCAGATGCTGATTTTACCTTTCCGTGTCTGTGATTATCTGAATGCTGAGTTTTCTCAGTACTCTCTGCTTTCAAGTTATAATTTTGTGAACTCTCAGCCTCAAGATCATCATCATCATCTTAGTTCGTTCGATTATTTCTGTTGAAGAAACAGCAGCACATAAACCTGGGAATTATCTCACAAATAGTGAAGCCTCCATCCTTTGTATCATCTTCTTCGTTAACTGTTTGACAGAATTTATACATTAGGCAAAAATTGAGACAAGATATCATTATTGGGATTCCAATTACTAAAGCTACAAGGGTACCAAAACCAATATATATCTCCATGTATTCTCTATTAGTATAACCTGCACAGTCAGCTAAATCAATTGCACAAGTACTATCAAGACAGCACGTAGCTGAACAGTCTAGACCTCTAGAGGCGCAACTTGCAGCATTAGCGGAACTACCTCTCTTCTTTTTTCCTCTACAGTCTACATATTCCACACTAAATAATAGAGAGATTGCTAACAGCATCGTGAAATATAATTGTTTTTTAGACATTATTTTGAAGATCTAACTTCGAATGCTAAACTATTAATTATTACTAAAATATTATTAATAAAATTCAGCTTATGTTTCGAAATATTTCTATCATTCTTTCTAAGTTAATTCATAAGTAGATAATTTCAAATTCATCAGGTGATTCTTATCATTTGGGGTTTTGGGGTTTTGGGGTTTTGGGG